AATGGGTTCATTCATAGTAGTAGAAGTAGATGTACATGTAGATGTAGTAGTAGTCGTCGTCGTCGTAGTAGTAGTAGTAGTACTAGTAGTAGTAGTAGTAGTAGTAGTAGTAGTAGTAGTAGAGTGGTGGTAGTAGTAGTAGTAGTAGTAGTAGTAGTAGTAGTAGTGGTAGCAGTAGTTGTCGTCGGACAGAGAGTAGTTGTCGTCTTAGTCGTCGTCGTGCCGTAAGAACCACACATGCTACCACAACGTGGCAGGCTTCAATGTCTTCTGGTCCCGAATGTCCTGATCCTTGTCCGTCCGTGCCATGATGTCAAAGCGGTGGCACCCTCTCTACAACCCTAAGAAGTATGGACTAATGGCCCAAAACCGTTAATCCCACGTCAGCCGTGGTAAACATGTTGATCGAAAGAACCCTGCATCACAGCGAGAAGCATCGACTGGAGTCTGGAGACACTCCATTGGTAGTCTTACCATTAACACTTCTCTCAGTGGCGGTGGTGCAGCTGCTGTGCGGCTGCTGAGCTACCACTGATACTGGCACTTTCGAATGCTGCCACGGCGACGAGTCACAGCAGTAAGACGCGAGCTGTCTCCGCCCACGCCACCTACCTTCAAACCTTCCTTTCCACCCTCCTTCCTACCCACCCACCTACCTACCCATGCGAAAAAAACCTATCTTTGTACATATGTAACTACTGTATACATACACATATCAGTATATACATATGCATATACATGTATGTACGGTTATATGTATATATATATATATATATATATTTATAATATATATATATATAATATATATATATATACATATATATATATATATAATATGTATATATATATACATACATACGCATGATTACAGATTTGTACGTGTATATATATATATATACACCACATACATACACACATTTATTTGTTGATACGCACAAACAGGCGCATGTCAAGACCAGAGTCCTCAACAGTTTATGGCTTAGGGTACAGGGAGAACCTAAACCAATAATCTTCTCCCCCTAATATTAACCCCGAATGGGGGGGTTGAGTTTTTATATCAGGGGGGTTTCGGCGCATGCGGGTACGAGTGGGATTACTGCAATCAGAGCCTTAAGCCCTAAACACCTAAGCCCCAAAGCCTTAAGCCCGAAGCTTTAAACCCTAAAGCCTTCAATCCTTAAGCCTTAAGGCCTGAGCCCTCAACCCCTAAACCCTAAAGCTCTGGTCCTTTTGATTTAGTACTACTGTAGTCATGGCTCTATTAAAACTAATACAATTCCTGGGCCCCCCCAATGATCTTTTCAACTTTCAATTGTGGGCCCGAAACCACGAGCTTCTGGAGGCCGGCAGTTTTATATTAGGGGGGGGGTTAGTGGTAGGGGAAGCGATTACCAGTCTTCTGCCTACAACATCCCGACAATCCTGAAGATTCCTTTGAAGGCACTGACCCTGGTGAGGTGCTATCTGAATACTTCTTGCAGTCCAGAGGTTTCTCGGGCCAGGGGTCCACTCCTGAGTTCTGGACCTGAAACGGTTGGTGTTTGCGTGGGGCGGGATGGGAGTGATTCAAAAGTTGCGAGAGAATAGCTGATCCTTTATTCTTCAGGCTTGACTCACGGATTGACCACAGATCAGATTAAACAAAACCCAACTTCGAGTCACTTGCAACAAATGCACGAAGCAAGAGCCCTCAGCTCGAAGCAGGATTGCAACCTAGTTTGTCTACCACGGTCCAGCCAACTGGACGCAACTCTGAACTTCATCCGAATCCTTTCAGTTCTACAAGCAATCAAATCGCACTGCACCCTTCAGCGCAAGTCACATCTCCTTAAACATCGGTGCAAGGCCACACAAGGTTTTAGGCTTAGGGTTGCTCAGACCTCCGCTCCTCTCTAACCACGACATCCATGTAAGCTCCACCCAGCCATAGAGTATCAAGCATGGCATGTGTATGCATGCAGGTAAGTAAATAAACTTGCTGGACTTCCTGGTCAGATTGTCAATGGCCTTTCGAGTACTGAGCAGGGTATTGAGCAAGTACCTGATGCACACCCTCAACAGAAAGCCCTGAGCCTTCAAGCATTTGTGTTAAATCAGAGGCTTCAAACGCACAAGCCCTAAGCAGTTGCCACTGCAGTCTCAGTCCCAAAGCGCCAGTCCGGAAAAACACTCTTAAAGTCTTAAACTCAAAACCTCAGCCGTCAAGCCCTGCGTTTCATCCCTTTTTGGCAGAATGCTGTGCAAACCCAGCCGTCAAGCATCCCGTCACCGACAGGGCTTCGTTGAGCTCAGCATGTCGGTGAATGGCCTTGGTCCGACGAGAGAAGGATTTAAGGATTAGATGCTTCGGGCTTTGGGGCTCTAGGGCTTTAGGTTTTCGGGCTGACGGGGAGGAAACCGATGCGTGAGACAGAGTCATGAAGTGCCACACAGACTAACCGGAAATGGAGATCTGGAGGCCTGAAGGGGTAGGATGATGTTCCGACACTGTTTCAATAGGAGCTGCTGCATCTGTTGAAGCCGCAAGAGCCCCAGACTTGACGATGGCTTGGAGCTTACCTCGGACCCCGGGGCTTGCCTCGAGTTGCACGGCTTCGGTTTGTTTGCTTGCTCGGGACAGGGGTCTCACATGAAGGAAGATAAGTCTGGTGTGCCTGTCTCTGTGTATGTGTGTGTGTGTGTCATGTCATCATCGCTTTTTGCCCGGAATCTCCGGTGAGTCCGTCTGAAGAAGCACATGACCTCTTCGGTCGAGGAAACGATTGCAACGTGGAACAGAACCCGGACTGTTGTGTCTCGGAGTTCTATCTAACGGAAACAGCGGTTGAACCGAATCATGACTGAATGCGTCTCGGAAGGCAACTGTACTTTTACAAACTCTAGACTCTAGACCCAGTAGCGAGACTCTCGAGCTGTCACTCGCACACGAGGCACATTCGGCTCTCTGGTTTCCAGGCTCGAACCGAAGAGCCATTCTCGTCAGCACTCAGAGTTCGTCGTGGGAAAGCGGGAGGCCAAACTTGGCAGACGCCTTCTCCAACTTCCACACCTGTCTTGACGATTCTTGACGACACTAATGCGGGAAACAGTTTGGCACGAGTGGGAAAAGAAACACGCCCTGTAAATCTTTGTAACTATCGTACTACTCAACCATATCACTGTGTGATTGTGTCTGCAGGTGCGCATTTTGATGTTATGATCGTGATGCTTCGAGCAAGAACTTGACAATTTGAACTGCATGCACGGGGGAGCAGAAAGCCCTTCTCAAGATCCGGAGTTCTGAAAGCCCTACAACGTAATAAGATGTGATGTGAGCCTTGAAGACGTGTGATCCCCTCCGGTATTCGAGATGTTCCTCGGCAGCAATTGACAGATGATCCCACCCGATGCAACCGCGGCACATCATGGAGGTACCCGCCGCCACCATACCTTATCTGCAGCAGAACACCCAAACAAAATGGACTCCTGGCAACTTCATCTTAAGTCATCGCACAGGACACTTACTGAGCAGCAATCTTGAGCCTCTTACACCAGCCGTCCTTGAACAACCTGTTTCGAGAGCCTAATGGGCCTAATGCCTCAGGCGGTTTTCGGCTTCAAGCTTCTCCGGTGCATGCTCCTCGGGTTAGGTGCAAGCACCACCAAAACAGCACCTTAAGCCATGCACCAAACAGAACTCAAACCTCAAGTCTTTAGACTTCTGAAGTTTCCACGTGATGGCCCGTTATGATCATGAGGGGCAACAGCTTCGAACAAAGGGAATCGCAGCGTAATGCTGCAGGCTCCCTAACACTGCTACAGCTTCCATAGAAGCAACAGTAGATTGTAAATGGGTGTGTGTGCTCCTTCGGTCCACAGAACCATCTTCAGATTGGAGCGGAGCATGAATCCCTGACATAACTATACATACCTGTTCTTTATGCATGCGGTCTTGGGTTCCTAGACTTTGGCAGCATTCAGACCTGGGAATGCCGAACCCAACCGCAAAAGCCGTAAACCTCGAACGTCATCACAAGCCCCTCATCCACAATGCAGCCACATTGGCAAGGTCCCGCCACCGAAGATCAGGATGGTATCATCTGTCGTAACACCTGAGCCGAGCTTTTCATGGTGTCGAAGCAAGGGGGTGCTAGAGGAACAGTCGCCGACTCTGAAGCTTGTTTCCTGCATCAAAGGGCTCTAGTGTGTGGCATGTTAAGCCCGGAGCGACAGTATGCAACAAGTGCATGGCCAGCATAGAACAAACAAGATGTGTACCGTCTGGAGCTCGGCACTTACACTACCCAACGTGATAAGAATGCTGGCATACAAATGCTAGGAGCATTACTAGCAAGGCACATGATGGCAAGACCTGCTCTGATCGGATAGCAGTAACATATTTAATAGCTATGGCAGCAGGCGGTTCATGGCACCAAGTGTAGTCCACCGTATTGCCGATTAAGAAAACCTGTCATAACATACTAAACAAAGACTGCGGAGTACGCATGCCACGGCAGAAGACCTACTCAACCACCGAATGCACTCAGAAACAAACTATTTCAGTTTGTCAGTCAGACCACCTGCTTGAATTTGCTTGCATGGCTATAACAGGACAACATGACCAAATTGAAGATCGTCCTTCTTTACTTCTTTAGGGGGATTAACTGATAAGCCATGACAAGGATACTACAATACACAAAGCCCCCAGGCCCCCAGACCTGCAAACCCTGAACATCCGCGAACCCTGTCTGCACCTACGGCGACGTCATCCCTGGGGGTCCAGGGTGCCTCACATGCGATAAAGGTTTAGGCACAAAAAAGGTTCAGTTTGGCTTAGTGTTGGGGAATTTTGTCGTCCGTGAAGTGGCCTGTGCAAGGGTTTCGTGGGTTTTGGCTACGATGAAAATATATGTTACGGGCTCCGCAATTCCTTATGAAGGCTAGTACGGACTTCCGACATTGCGGCGACTTTTCACTCACTAGTGGCAACTGCAACACGTTTCAGGTAGGTTTCGGGTGCATGTTTGGGGTATGTGCCGTGGTTACCTCGCGCTCCAGCTAAAGATTGACTCGAAACCGACCCCTCGAAAAGAAGCTTTTTTGAGGCTTCAAGCACTGTGAATGGCCAAGGGTTTACTTGCGGGCTGGTTTCACAACTGAACTGCTTTACGTGACCTCTTGGGCCTGTGGCTAGCATCTCTATTCTCTTCTTGACTCCAAGAGCTCGTGGCAACTGCCCAGGAGGGGTTTCTCAGGACGATGAGAATTTAGGTTCTCGATACTAAGTCAGGCAGGGAAGTGCCTAAACATCGGATTGTCTGGGCCTGCTGTCTGGAAGAAAAACCGCATGCTATCCTTAGCTTGCCCAGCTCCCACACCCTAAACTAACTCCTGGAAGGTGGAAAAATCCTCCAACCGGAGAGAAAATTGTCAGGACACAAGAGACCTTGGATGATACTTACTATACAGTAAGGAAACCCGTTGCAGTCACTCTGCAGTCAAAAGATGCCCACTGCAAAGCCTTCGGCCCGAAACCTTACTCCAACAGGCAAAGCCTTGGGTTGTCATGCCTTGGCCTTGGTTTTGGAGTCCAGATTTGAGGTTACGAAGTTTTCTAGGCCCAGGAAGGCCCAGGCATAGCTGACTTTTGTACTTTCTCCAACAGACGATTGCTGCAAGGCAGTGGCCCTCCCAGGTTTCACATTCCGGAGTTGCATCTCTTTGCTCTCCTTTTGACACCCCTTCGGAATTGAGCTGTGCGCGGCGTGAAGTCAGGGACCCTTATAGGGGGTAAAGAGGGAGGGGGCTTCCTTAAATAGGCCTTATTGGGCCTTATTACACCAAGAGGGAAGGAATGCCGCGACACAGCAGACTGGAAACGATGGTGTGTCTCTATCGAGAACGCTGCTGTAGCACCCGGACTTGTAATTGTTCTGCATCTGAAGCCTATCGGCAGTCCTGCGTCCGTCCAACACATATAGGCTAAACAGCCGCATGCCGGAATGGGATTTCATGGCATATTCTGCCAAAGTTGATTGAGGGTCTGTTCTATATTGAACCCTGCCCCCGACTGACAAAATGGGTGAGTGCAGGGCCGTCCTGCCTCCTTCTCCACGACCTTCCATTTCTTGCTGCCGGCATTCAGGTTGAGAGCCAGAACGTCCTTTTCGCTCCCGACCGAAAAGACCTAAACCTATCCGAGCCTAGCGAACCCGACAAACCGAACATTGTGGTGATGAACTTGGCAATGAGCACGATGCTGATGACGCCGAACAGGGGAAGGTCGAGAGGAAAGGGGGTTCGCTTTGAAGTCATCAGTTGCGGTAGTAGGTTTGACCGTTTTGCTTGATAGTGTTGCCTTTGGCATTTGCGCCCCTAGCCCTGTTTCCCCTCAGGAAATTCCAAGCCTGGCGATGGACTCAACCCTGAACAGCCTAGACCTTAAAGCATGAATTTAGACCGCAGATTGTGCACAACCCGTGGACAGGTCGCGGCATGCCCAACTAGTAGGATAGTATGTGTTGCATCATCATCATCATGGTCGTCGGTCTCAACCAAGTTAGACACCTTCAACGGCGGCTTGTGCTAACGGCTCCAGCACATTTGCTGAAGAATCCGTCAGCCGCATTCCCGAATCCTCAGACCGAAGTCTCGAGACCATACCGGAATCGCACGTCGAAGCCCCAGAAGACATCCAAACCTCATGAACCTAAAAGTGCTTTCGCCCAGGTGCACTGTAGGTGCGGAACTCCGTCTCCTGCGCAGCTGTGTCAAGCCAGGGGATTCGGGCTCTTCCTGTAGGTCTTCGACTTGTTTTTTTCTGCAGTCCAGCTGAAGGAGGTTGGAGGCGCAGGGGCCTGGGTTGGGGCAGCGTCTAACATGCCATGCGCGGCAGTATGTTTTTCGCAGGCTCGAAACTGCCTGTATTTACAAAGAAGCATACTAGTCATGCCAATACCAAGACATTCATGATACCTCCTGCCTTCGTTCGATTACACCAACGCCTGGCTGAGCAATTCATGGTTCCTCTCCAACAGCACCGTGCCTCGTGGTGCTTTGCCACGCCGTCCTTGTCTTCCTCGATCAGAGCTTCAGGTTCAGGATGTAGGGTTCAGGGTTTAGGTTGGTGTAGGTCAGAGATCTTCAGATCGTGGTTCTGTAGGCATTCAGGCGTGAGATCACAATCTTCCCGGCAGCAAAACATGTCATATGAAATTGAAGCCTCTCGTCATTGCGAAACTGTATCTGCAAAGTCATACTCTCAGAACCTGAGTTCGAATTGGCTGGCCCTCAAAAGAATGGACAACGTGTCAACATGTAATGTCGTCCGGCACGACAGGACTTCAAAATTAGATTGGCCGCATGTGGCATGTGGCAGAGTCCGCAAAGTATCCTTCGGAATTCGACATCCTCTGCCCGAAGGGTCCCCACTCGCCTCCAAGCCCCGAAATCCGAACACTTCTGCTTCCAAACGTAGATTTGTGTATCCCCCAGTAGCATACCAAAACTTGGGTTCGAGTTACAAGGTTTGTTGGCGCACTGGTACATACCCAATCCCCTCGACCTTCTTGCAGGAGGAGAGGCAGGCCCCTTCGCAGAGAGGAGCTCCGTCTCTGGAGTCCAGTGGCCTCCCAAAGTCATCAGCCAACCAGTGTGGAGGACCTGAGAGGTAGAAAGTTTTAGAGTAAGGCTTTGCGTTGATTGATTGCTGGATGCTTCGGGCTTCAGTTTCACTGTTTCAGGATTGGCTTAGTTTCTGATATCTGGGTTCCGCGTGCGATGAAGTCTGGCTGGAAACGGTGTATAGTTTCAGGTTCAGGAGTGATGGCTGCAAGCCTGAAACCCTGACTGTGGGAAGTTGATGTGCGGAAATTCGGGCCAGGTATATGACGGTGTGCGGTTCCGTGGACGCTGCGCCATGTCGTAACTGTCGTACTTGCGTCGCTCCTATCCAAAGGCTCCAAAAGGCCCCGAAGTTAACGAGCAACTGGAAGCCCAGGATACAGTGATAATGGCTTAGGCTAAGTTCCTTTGAGCCAGAGTTTGGAGTTCAGCAAGCGAATCTTCCTCTGCTGCAACGGGTGATTGCAACTGGGCTACGTCGCAACACACTTGGGGCCCTCCGTATGCATGCCTACCATCCACTGTCTGTAGCCCTGGTCCTCTTGTCCTGTTGAACGACAAAACTGCTTCTGGGAGCTTAGCTGATGCCACTCTCCGGCCCAAGAGGATCCTCTGCTTCGTCGTACTCCAGCCCGACAAGCCCGAATACACTCTCAGGCCCCTGGCAAAAACGCCGGGAGAGCTCCGTGCCGCCGCGAGGTTTCCCAGTCGCACCCATTCTGAGGGTTTGGCACCTTGTGCTGAAGCCAGGATTTCCGCGCCATGTAGGAGCAATTTCGGTCTGCTTACAAGTTCGAGCTATTAAACGGCGTTCAGGCTGCACTTTGCCAACTGGCTAAGCATTCCATTGATCTTTGCGAAGTCTGCGACATGATTTACCTAGAGTGACTCTCACGTGGCTTCGGGCACCTGGTTCAAGTAAGTTTACAAGGCCGAGACACAAAATGTACAGCCCCAGCAAGAGTCGATAGAGAGTGGGGAAAACAGACCGCCAACTCTTGGCTCTAGCCGGCGTTTTTGCGCTGAAGGATGGCGGTAAAGTCGTAGAGGATATGGGTTTTATTGCAGGTGTTCCGCTGGTTTCAGGGTTGTGAGATGAAGGCATACCAAGCACTGCTGTGGGAACCTAGCTGCACTATGTACTCCAGAAGATACCTATCCAGGACCGCAAACCTGAGGATGTGCGGCTCGGATCAGTGTCGCCGAACCTTGGGGTGAGTCTCCCGGATGCAATAGGCCAAACCGATCGCGCATGTGAATTCAATGCCTCAAGAATCACAGTCCAGCCCTGAATCCCATGGCTTGAGAACCTCCGCCCTAAGTCGAAGATCGTGTAACCGATTCGCTGGAAACTGATCCCGGCACCGCCGCTACTGCTGCTGCTGCTGTTGCTGCCAAGTACTATCACGACTACAACGACCTAACGTACTAAGCCGACGACGGAAAACGGCGACGACGATGCTGCCGCTAAATTGCTGAAGCGACTACTACTCCTACTTACTATACTGCTACCACCGCTACTACCGCTACTATCGCCACTGCCGAAGACCGCAACGAGTACCAGTGCCACGACGACGACGACTACTACTACTTCTGCTGCTGCTACCACAATCTTTCTGGGGGGGAGCTTATTTGCTCTTCTGCTACACTCTGGTTTGGCTAAGCCGTGCCAAGAAGATTCTGAGAGCCCAGGGCTTCCAAGGCTTCCAGGGTGCATCAAAGGCAAACAGCACGAATACCAGAACTGGCAACACACAACCCTCCCGAATCTCACATAACATTTATGGTTTCGAGCTTTGTGCCCATAACCGCGGAGCTGAACCTTCCTCCCATCTTGAGCTCCGAGCTGGGAAGAGGCACGCGCCAGGTGTCTTCACAGCGGTTCCATTTCCTGCTTCCGGGGGCAGCTGTCAGACTGTATGGGGTCGGGCTGTCTGCTTGCAAGATGTCGTCTCTCCTGCTGATGCTGCAAGCTTAGTTGGGCTTTCGGGAGTGCTGAGCGATGAACCTCTGTCTATTGTGCAAACATCCTGCTAAATCCAGATGTCAACACAGAATGCCACAACATACTAAAGCAGAAATCTAGTCTTTCAACCAGAAAGTCTTCTGACATCTACAGACCCCCGGCAGACCCCCTGTTTCACCTGGAGTTGAAGACTCAACATAAGCACCCTCAACACCTTAACCCTAAAGTCCACAAACCTAAATCCGACCCCTGCGCAAAGATTCAGCAACCGACAGAAGCCTGAAAAAGCAACCATTACAACCCGACAAGTGCACTCACTAAGAAAACCAAGCGTCCCTGTACTAGTCCCTAAACAAAACCTGTACCCCATATTACAGTACCGTGATCCCCAAACCCAAATACAAAGACTCAATCGGTGGGCCTGCCGCCCTCTTTGGCATGTTGCCCTCCGAACATAACCTGGGTTAGGGACTAGAGCTTGGGTTCTGCAATTTGTTGCTTGAGGGCTTATCCCTGGCGCGAACAGTCTGACATGGCACCCCAAGAACAAGTGAGGCCACAGGTGGAGGGACTCGTTAGCGTGTGAGTGGGTTTGTGGTCGGTGGTGGTTGGAGGCTGATCTTCCTGTAACATGTGACATTTTGTGTGGGACGAGAACCCATTGTGTGGACATCACTGGCCAGCTGGTCGTTCTGGGCGCTGGGTTCAAGGTTCGCAGGGCTGTGCAAACAAAATTATAGTTTGCGGCGGCCAAAGCACGAGCCACTTGCCATCCGGAGAGATGGCAGTTGCGTGATCTGCCTCCAGCAAGATGCTTTGGCCGTACAAAGATGACGGAGTAAAGCGCTTGAAACAGGTAGAGCAAGCAATAGCGGAGGATAGCAGTGGTGCCTGTGGAAATCCAATCCCAAACCCTCATGTATGCCCGGGCTGATACCAGTTTTACGTCTTCCAGTGTAATTGGCATGTTGCCGCAGCTTCATGGGTAAGTACACATACATACATACGTACATGCATACACACGCACAACATATGCGCACATAAACATACATACATACATACATACATACATACATACATACGTACGTACATACATACGTAATACATACGCACATACATACAAACTTACACACATGTATACAAACAGATGCTTGCATATGTCTCCGTCAAATCTGTCTACTAAATCTCTAAATATATCTTTGTATCTGTGGATCTATTTGTCTATAGATCTACATATCTATATATATATATATATGTACACATATATATATATATATATGTCTATATATCTCTATCTCTATCTCCATCTATCTGTCTATATGTATATCTACGTATGTATGCGTGCATGTATGCATGTATGCATGTGTTTATGTATGCATGTATGTACGTATACAAACATGTATGTATATGTATATATGTATATCTTTATGTATATATACATATTATAAACTGTATTCGTACAGCTAAACCAGAACCTCCCGGCCCCACCCGCGAGTCCCATGGAGCAGCCCCATGCGGGCTCTTCATGGTCCACTTCAGCCTCGGATAGCGGGCAATGAACCTCTGTTGTACCGGGTCCTCAGAAAGGGGAACTACTGCTGTCGTAGCCGCTGCTACTGCTGCTGCTACTACTGCTACTACTACTACTACTACTACTACTACTGCTAACTACTACTCCTGCTGCTGCTGCTACTAATGTTCCTACTCCTACTCCCACTCCCACTCCTACTCCTACTCCTACTCCTACTCCTACTCCTACTCCTACTCCTACTGCTTCTGCTGCTGCTGCTGCTGCTGCTGCTGCTGCTGCTTCTGCTAAGTCGTTTTCTACTTCTACTACTGC